GGCCGGGGAGCTGGGATCCGGCACTTGGAGATCCGGCTGAGCCCTGGCCGGACTTGCTGGGGCAGGTCGCTCCCTTCTGCCTCAGTTTCTCCATCTCTGTGGTGGAGGATGGAATTCTCTGGTGCCAAGCGGGAGTTGATTGGTTAACCCGTGCAAAGTCTGGGGTGTCCCAAGGGGTTCTGGGGGGCGGGTTCGGGGCCTAGCTCCCACTGAGTCCCTTGGAAGGGAGAAGGGTTCTAGAAGTGCTTGTCATGGACTGGCTAGCCACACTGCTCCCTACTGGGCAGGATCAGAGCTGCTAATCTGTGTGTCATAAGCCCTGTACCCTGAGTGGCGATTCTCCTTTAGCTCAGCCGATAGGGGCCAGGGATCGACCCCTGCTGTGGCAGTGAAGCTCGCAGGCTCAGTGTGTGCAGCTTGGAGACCTCCTGGGTTCGTGACGGTGCTGTTGTCACCCTGAGGAAAGGGGGGTCAGTGGGGTGACCATAGACCTGGGATCGGGATGAAGCTGCAGGGCTGGCACATTCATTGCGAGCCGCGCCTTACGCTGGCTTGTTAGTTATGCCCCCTCACCCTCCAAGAGTGGACCTCACTGGGGGGAAACTGAGGCACGGGGCGGGGCAGCGAGGCCCTGGCAGAGCCCAGGAGTCCTGACTCTCAGAGCATGAGGCCAGTGGCTGTGAGCCGGCCCCGCTGTGCATGGACAGTCTGGGGGCTCAGTGCACATAGCTAGGGCCCCCCCAGGTCTCCGTGTGCTGACGCCGCCCCCACCCCCTTTTCTCCTTGTCCCAGGGCTGGGAACGTCTGCGCTTTCATCAGTAACAACCGCGTCTCCCGCGCCGTGAACGGCAGCTTTGGTGCCCTCAACACCACGCTGGACAACCTGGGCACCTTCGTCCGCTCCATCCCCCAGGTACGTGCAGCGCCCCCGCTGCTCACCTGCCTGCCGGAGCCCCCCAGCCCCGCCCATCCCGCGGGCCAGAGACTGGCAGGGCGTGGATCCCAGGGTCTGCACAGGGCGGGGATGCCAGGGGCCTGCCCTGGAGTGACCCACGCAGTCCCCTGAGTTAGTCCATTGCTGCTGGGTATGGTGCAGTCCCCCTGTGGGAGCGGGAGCCCCCTCTGCAGCCAGGCCCGTATTCACCCCCCTCTCCTTGTCTCTGCAGCAAGTGGATTTCATCATCGCCTCCAGCGACGTGCCGGTGAGCCGGGCCAACGGCAGCCTTCAGAGTGAGTCTGTGCATGGGGGGCTGGGGGGGGCCGGGGGCTGTGGGGGCCAGGGGAGGGCGTGGCCCCAGATACCTGGCTCCGGGGCGGTGGGCTGTGGGGCTGTGGGGACCTGGCTCCGGGGCGGGGGGGATGGGGATGCCCTGCCCCAGCGCTCAGAGCCCTGGCGGGGGTTGGGCTGCACGGGGCTCTGATCCCTGCCTGTACGGCCCCAGTATGGAGCTCGACACCCTTGGGTCCCAGGAGCCCGTTCCTGGCTGCAGGGGGCACTGGCTGGCCCCCTCCGGGCTTCCAGGCTCTTGCCCACCTGCCCCTCCCCTCCCCTCCTCTCCCTCTTGGCTGCTTTCTCATCCCACCCCCTACCATGGCACAGCCCCCTCCAGCCCAGCCAGGGTCACTCTCCCTGCCACACCTGCCCATGGGCACCCACAGGGCCGGCTCCAGGGTTTGGGCCGCCCCAAGCAGCGCAAAAAAAAAAAAAGGCCGCGATCGCGATCTGCGGCGGCAATTCGGCGGGAGGTCCTTCGCTCCGAGCGGGAGTGAGGGACCGTCTGCCGAATTGCTGCCAAATAGCTGGACGTGCCGCCCCTCTCCGGAGTGGCCGCCCCAAGCACCTGCTTGGCAAGCTGGTGCCTGGAGCCGGCCCTGGGCACCCAGCAGGGCAGTGGCAGAGGGGTAAGGAACCCAGGAGTCCTGGCTCCCAGCCAGTAGCTTTAGCCACTTCCTCTCAAGGGACCGTAGCATGACATGGGCTCCGTGGCCAGCCCGTTCTGCGCCCGCT